TGCTGCCCCTGCCCCTGTCACTCAGAGGTGCCAGCGGGTCTGGGGACACCTGGTGTGGCAGGGCAGGGTCCCCGATAACCGAGCGCTGCTGCTTATCAGGGCCCGGCCGGGATTATCACCCCCCTGCAGGCGCCTTCCAGGAACGCGGCGTGTCCGGTGCAAACAGCCGGGCATGATGGCACCGTGGGGACAGAGAGGGCTGGGGACCAGGGAAGGGCTGGAATGGGGACCCCAGGCCCACGGGGTGCTGCTTGGTCCCCTCGGGGTGCCGGTCCCACCACACGCATGGCCAGGGGATGTGTATGACGAGGGGCATGTGAAATGAAGTGACACAGCCCTCTTGGGGACACACCTGGCCAGGGGTGGCATGTCCTTTGGGGACACACAGCTGGGGGATGCATCCCTCCCCCCCTGGGAGGGGGCACACACAGGCAGGGGACATGGGCCTGCAGACTGGGGGACACATCTGGCTTTTTTGGAGGGACATGCTGCCAGCAGATATGTCCCCTGGGGGAGCGTGCAGGGCCAGGGGACACAGCATTTTGGGGGCCCCCACCCTGGGGGCTCAGCCTTCCTGCACCCACCCCGGTGCCCCCTCCGGGGGTGCTTGTGCAGGGGGGCTCCTGCACTCCCGTGTCTCCCCAGCGCTGCACCGGGTCCTGTCCCTCTGGGGCTGCCCCTGCTACATCCAAAGCCCTTGTCCAGCAACTGGCAACCAGTTTGGAATGGGTAACTCCCAGTTTGGGGTCTCCCCACCTATGGGAGGGACCATCCTGGTGACCACGGGGGTCAAGGTAGGAGGACGAGAGGCTTTCAGGAGGTTCCTGGCAAGCCCCATGTCCCCAGAGCCACCATGGGCTTGTGGGGAGCTGCTTGGGGCTGTGCCCCCCCGGGCACGAGGGGGTTAAGGGGCCCCGTCCAGCTGTGCGTGCAGATGTGTGATATGCAGATGAGGCAGAGCAGGTTTTATAAGGCGGGTTCAGGGCCAGCACCCCACAAAGCCCTAGTGCCACCCCCAGAGGTAGGTGCCACCTCCTGAGGAGTCGCTGTCCTGCTCCGGGGTGTGGGACTGGGGGGGACAAAGAGGGGACCAGAGGAGGTGTTGGGGGAGGGGAGGGGCTGCTGGG